GTCATGGGCTGTCGCCGGCCAACGTGTTGTTGGTGTTTTTTCAATGTATGCTTCAGACACGGGTTACGACGAGGCGTTCCCCATAGCGACCCCTAGAGGACGCAGTGTCTCGTTCCCTACTCAGGGAACCATGGTTACATAAGTAACCTGAGACGTTTTTCTTCATTGTAGTTGCTCGCGGAAACACTGCTGTTTATCGACAACCAAAAGACCTTAATCAGGTTAGACGCCATATTGAATTTAACACGAATGAAAGCAAGGCTAGTGAGTGAGGGATATAGTCTTTACCATGACATGCACTGTATAAATGTTCGAGAAAATGTAATTTCCACAACTTATTTAACTGTTTTATGTGTTTTTTTGTTCTATATCAGAAAGAGGTTATTCGAGCTGAACAATCATGTTGTTAAACAACAATACAATTGAACACACTAGGCTACTTTTATTCCTCACAGGCTCAATTTCTTTCCTGGCGGAAATGATATATATGGCGCTCTGAGAAGATATGCTAAAAATGCCAGACGTAAATAGCCTATGTCTCTGATGTCTATTAAAAATGTTGAGTATGTGGCGTTTATCTCACAGAGATTTCTATTGCCACGTTCCACGGTGTTTATTTGCTCTTTCGTCCTACACCTTTTCTTTCTTAGGCAGAAAAGATAGATTACCACTTATGTTTTTGCAGCTGCAGCAAACACAAAATACTTCAGAAACGTCAGTGGGCAAGGTCTCACGGAGCCCGTGTGCCATTTTCTCTTTCTGCTGGTTCATCTTTTTTGTTACGAAACATGAAACACCTGTATACTTGAACTATGTACCGCTGACAAAGCCTGCGTGTAGTCCTTCGTAATAAATCACCTAATAATTGAGTTCACTGTTTCCTATCGGGCTACAGTATTGCACTTCTCTCAAGGATGAATGTGGAATTACTGCCATCTAGCGGGAAAAAAAGTTGTGAAGCTGTTTAAATGCACATTCTGAATGACTTGACTTCATGTCGACATATTTCTTTCTTTATTAAACATTTTACCCGAAACAACTGGTAGAGCAGTTTAACCTTTAATCTCTTATTCTTAACCAGTAATTTGATCTGAAAAACAGTAGAAGAGTGCTGATATTGCCAGTCTGTAGTAGCTACATGACAAAGCAATCTGTTAGCAATCTTGTACATTCCAATGACAGTTGCTCTGCTGGAACATTTTTGCTTTTGCATTAATATGAGAAGAAGGTTTATAAAGTATTCAGTCATAAACACACAAATCTGTTTTCTGTTATTAAATGCTCATTGGAAACGGCAGATGGAAACAGCTGTAGCATCATCCACGAGGACATAGAAATGCTTGATTTCTAGTGTTACACATTTGCAGTTATTTTTTACTATTTTACGATTTTCTTTCGTCAATGTCCAGTTCCTTACATTGCTCGTGTAAGGAACCACTTATTTTTACACTGCTGCCGACAGTGATTGGCCTAAAGCCATCTGCAGGAGTGAGTCCACTTCATTATGAAAGAAGACTCTTTGAATCAAGTGCCACTCTATCAAAACCCTTCAGGAGATCAGGCGGATCTAGTCACAAATCCTGTCTCCTCTCTTCATCTGTAAAATCACTTTTAAACAACGTTTTAATAATGCATCAGTTACAAAATTCTTAGAAGAATATCCTTCATGAAAAATGTATGTCCATAACAATAATGTTGTACAAATTGTAGGCTACAGCATGACACTGTCCTTTTTTTCTTGTGGTTCTCAAAATGTCTTAATTTCTTTTAATGTGAAAGTATCTTTGTAGCTTGGTCAAAACATCAAGTTGTTTTAATGCTAACAACCAGCATAATGGCCTACACATGTTTGTTTATGTTCTCAGGGGTACCATGTCTTTTCTGAGAAGGTCTTTTCTTACTTGGTGGCCTCAGGAAGTTCAAACCAAATATACTATTTACTACTTGCACTTGATTGGAGTGACCCAATTTCCTATCTATCTATATCTTCCTTTCTATACAATATGGTGACTACTACCTTACCGAAATAACCTGCATTTTTTAAGCCTTAGTCATATTGTGAAGTGAATGAAAACGCACACCATATTTGATATGAGTAATTTGCTCTTTAGTTCTGTGGGTTTTGTGTAGCTTGTCAGGAGGTCCCAGTGGATAATTTAACAGGATGTGTCCTGTTGTAGGAAATAGCTCTTTTGATTTTTGTTCTGCACTGTTGAACGTGCTGTGATCTTCCCAGCTAAATGATTCCCTCCTGCTCTTTCCATCTGTTGTTTTTCACCAAACAAAGCATTGAGGTAGTGGGATTCTGGAAAGAGTTGAGGGAAAGGGCTGCTCTGTCACAGAAACCTACTGTTTAGATGCAAGGAGGTGTCGGCTTCAAAGACTGTCCAGGTTTAAATTCCAAATGCTTTTAATATTGGCATAGAAAGAATTCCAACACCGATGATCTCTTTCTTCCTGTACTTGGTTAAAGGTTACCCAAAAATGCAAAATTGCTGAAAATGTATTCACCCTCAGGCATTTCCAAGATGCAGATGAGTTTGTTTCTTTATAGAAACAGATTTGGAGAAATTTAGTAGTGCATCACTTGCTCACCAATGGATCCTCTGCAGTGAATGGGTGCCGTCAGAATGAGAGTCCAAACAGCGGATAAAAACATCACAATAATCCACGAGTAATCCACACATCTACAGTCCATCAATTCTCGTGAAGCAAAAAGCTACTTATTTGTAATAAAAAAAAAAAAAAAAAAAAAAAAAAAAAATGAATCTATAATGCATAATATTGCTTTCTCCTTTCTAAATTTCTCCAAATCTGTTTTTATGAAGAAACAAACTCATCTTTATCTTGGGTGGCCTGATGTTGAGTACATTTCCAGCAAATTGAGTACATTCTTAGCTAATTTTCGTATTTGGGTAAACTATTCCTTTAAATGAAAGAGGTGCAGATGTTTCATTTTAAATGAACATGAAACGTGACTAGATGGACATCTCTGCAACCTCCCTGCAGCAATCTGTGCGCTCCTATGGTTGTGCTGTAATAATGATTCAGTCTGGATTACAGTTTTTTTATTTATTATTAAATTCAAATCAAGCTGGAGAGCTTTCCAAGGTGTCACTGCTGTAACTTTAAAATACATATTTGTTTAGATATGTATGTGCAAAGTACAGTTTATACAAGATTTTATCCAAGATACAAAAGTAATACAGAAGCTGTTTCTGCACAAAAGACATTTTGAGATAAATAAAATATGTCCCCTAAATATAGTCTCCTTCAGGATAGGGTTTGTCTGACATTTTTTTAAAACCAAGTTTCTCTAGTTTATTTAATGTTTAAGATGTGATTGGATCATGTTTTGATACCTGTGTCATCACTTGACATAGATTTTGTTTTCTTTTGCTGGTGTAAGCAGGGTTGGTGAGAAAACAAATATGATTCATACTGACCTTTGTCATCTGCTTTTGCTTCAAGCATGTTTGGCTTTTGAAAAATTCCTTTGTTTTTATGTAAATGTGGCTACAGTGCCTCCATTTGCTAAAGGTTTAGTTATGGATATTAATGTTTAGATAGATAGATAGATAGATAGATAGATAGATAGATAGATATGACAGAAAAGACAGAATTTTTGAGTTGTTGATACAGCTAATCAGATGCTTTAATTTGCATATATAAATATATGCTTTAAGTTGCATATAAAATGTGTGCTAAATGATGCTAAACTAACTAAGGACATCACAGATGGTTTGCAGATGGCGATGTTTCAGCCATGCATGAATTAAACATTAGTTGGTCAAAATCTTATAGACATCTGTAGAGCATAATATTTGGGGTTGCCGGGTTCATAAGGAAAATTATATTTTCTCTGACTACCTTGTTATTGACTAGGGCACTGAGTCCTCATACTGTAAATAGCACACTGGATGTTGTCCAGTCTTTGCTTTAATGTCTACAAGTGAGATTGTATTTTCTAAATAACCGGATGTTAACAAGGAATTCATTTTTAATGAAGGTGACATTGCCTCCTCCTTCCTAACTGGCTTATGCCCAGTCAGCGGAGCGCTTGTCTCACCTCTTAGATTTAAATCTGCTGAGTCAGCTGTCAGTTCCTGCTGTCACTTTCTGTTTTCTCAATCATAGATAAATGAAAATCAGCGACCATGTGCATAATGTTTCTTCCCATTCATTTGAACTACAAGACTTCTTAAAAAACAGCCTATTGCTGCACCTCTAGACAGCAAACAACAATTTGTTTATCTAGACTTATAAATAAGAGTCATGGGACCATTTTTATGATACTTTATTTGCATCCTTTTGTGCTTTATCATCCTAAGAACTGAATAAAATGCCTTCTAACATGCCTAACAAACAGTGTATGGGAATGACTCAAGAGTATTGTTGAGTAGAGCTGCATAAACGAAGAACAAAAGTAATTTAGATTGTCTCTTTGATTGTATTTTCAGTTCTGTGCTTGTCAGTTATTTTTTATCCTTTCCATCATCTGGTCAGTGCTACAGAATAAATAGGCTAATACAGAAATAATACTCTTTATACAGAAGACAGAAGCATCATGCACAATGCTTTTAGTAATATTTTTACAAATCCAATTTTATCTCATGCTAGAAAACTGTCTCATCAGAGACAAGGTTTGCAAATAAAGTTACATAATAGTCGGTGAGATAAGGTATTGTAGGCTACTAGAAGAAAAAGCTTTCCTTCTTTTGACACAATCGCCATCCAGCGGTGGAATAAATGCAACGCACAAATCGAAAACGAAAGTAAACGTGTCGTAGAAAATGGCGGAAATCATCGTGAAAAACAAACTTAGCCTGATCAAATGGCTTAGTTCGGATCATGTAATTCTTTTGCAACATGTTCAAGTTAATCAACTTATACCAACGGCTCAGTATAGAGAACTGATGGACATGACCGGTAAAGACAGAGTCGTTATCAAACTTCTGGACATTATCCTTGGAAAGGGTGAAAATGTGTGTCGAGATTTTTTGGATTTGTTAAAAAATGATGATGTGAATGAATTGTATCCTGAGCTCAGAGAATGGATCAAAACAGTGGACACTAAAGGTAAGCGCATTGTGCACACTTATAGAGAGGCCCAAGTTACATTCATTCATACCATATCGACATGTCAAAAATAGGCTAAAAGTCAATTTAGTGAAACTATGGCTCATTTTTAGCTGAATTGGGTGGATAAATGGGCAGCAATCAACCATTTATTTTTTTGATAATGGGTTTTGTTTAAAAAAATTATTTACCCCAGAACATACAAACATATTCGACCTACTGAAAAACGCCTTCCAGCCTAGTGTGAAGTCACTCTACATTAACAATAATTTAGTTAAAATATAATGTGATTTAATGGAAAACGATGGATTTGTAACTGAGTTGTAGCTGGGCGCCCAAGTGTCTTTATTCAGATAGTTCAACTTTAGTGTAATAATAATAATAATAATAATCTTCTTTATAACGTTACAGACCTGAAAGCAGAAAAAGACTGCAATAATGGAGAAAGTGGTAACAGGCCAAAACAAGGTTAGATTTTAGATCTTGATTCAATCTTTTTCTGTATATACAGTATGTATGTATACATGCATGTACAGTGCCCTCCACTGATATTGGCACCTTTGATAAATATGAGCAAAGTGTGAAAATAATTCTGCATTGTTTACCCTTTTGATCTTTCATTCAAAAAATTCATTCAGTAAAATATCTCTGAAGTATATTCCCATTCATATTTACATTTTTCAGCACACCGGGGTGACTAGGAGCATGAAATTGTCCAGCCATGACTTTCTGTTCCACAGGATTATAAATATGAGGAACACAAAGGCCAAATTCCTTTAAACATCCATCACAAGGAGTAAAACCAAAGAATATAGTTCTGATGTGCACAACAAGATTGTTGAGCTTCACTAAATAGGAAGTGGCTGTAAGAAAAGAGCTAAAGCATTGAAAATCTTCATTTCCACCATCAGGGCTATAATTAAGAGATTCCAATCAACTAAAGATTTTACAACTCTGCCTGGAAGAGCACGTGTGTCTATATCATCCTAATGCACGGTGAGAAGGAGAGTTTGAGTGGCCAAAGATTCTCCAAGGATCACCGCTGGAGAATTGCAGAGAGTAGTTGAATCTTGGGTTCAGTATATTCAGTTGTCAGACACGACTGGAACCTCAAATGGCACTGGCTTCTATGGTCAGATGAAACTAATCCCCCCCCCCCTCAATTGTTTTACTTCAATGATAGGTTAGAATTTAGTAAATTTTTTGAATGAAAGATAAAAAGGATAAACAATGCAGATTTATTTTCACAGCCGCCTTTTCTCATATTTACCAAGGGTGCCAATATTTTAATGGAAAACTATGGATTTTCAGTTTGGAGTTGTAGCTGGGAGCCCTCAAGTTTCTTTATTCATATTTCAGCTTTAGTGACATTGAATTGGCCTGTATGGAAAAGAACTGTACAGTTGCTATGAATACTTTTAAATATGTATTGTGGTAAACTGGGTAGATCACTGTAATGCATTGCAGTACATTCAGCATAGATACATACATACAACACAGGATGCTTGCATGATTTTTGCCATCCAAAACAACATGTCTCTCTCTCTCTCTCTCTCTCTCTCTCTCTCTCTCCAGAGACTGCAACCATGACAGGACAATCAGGCACCAAAGTAAGCAGTAAGTGTGATTTATATTTATTAATAATCGGAAACATTATCAGATGTATAATTAACAATTGTATGAACTGACAGATTTTTTTTTTTTTTTATGTAAAAAGGCAAAACCTTTGCATCTGGTGGCAGCGTTGTATATTCGCCTATCATAACTGATGCAAGTCTAGGCCCCATTGAAATGAATATGACTGTTGCACCCTCTGGCAGAATTGGTCAGTGAAAAACACCGTCTGAAACTATTAAAAAATGGTAATTAAATGAAGTTGCTTAACCTGCAGAAAATTATGATCATGAACCAAAGGCCAAAGCAGGCCAAAGTAAATTTTATATAAGCTGTTTAATTTTGAATTTTTAAAAACATTTTTCTTTGTACACTGAACACAATTATAAACGCAACACTTTTGTTTTTGCCCCCATTTTTCAAGAGCTGAACTCAAAGATCTAAGACTTTTTCTATGTACACAAAAGGCCTATTTCTCTCAAATATTGTTCACAAATCTGTCTAAATCTGTGTTAGTGAGCACTTCTCCTTTGCCGAGATAATCCATCCACCTCACAGGTGTGGCATATCAAGAGGCTGATTAGACAGCATGATTATTGCACAGGTGCGCCTTAGGCTGGCCACAATAAAAGGCCACTCTAAAATGTGCAGTTTTACTGTATTGGGGGGTCCGAAAACCAGTCAGTATCTGGGTGTGACCACCATTTGCCTCACGCAGTACAACACATCTCCTTCGCATAGAGTTGATCAGGTTGTTGATTGTGGCCTGTGGAATGTTGGTCCACTCCTCTTCAATGGCTGTGCGAAGTTGCTGGATATTGGCAGGAACTGGAACACGCTGTCGTATACGCCGATCCAGAGCATCCCAAACATGCTCAATGGGTGACATGTCCGGTGAGTATGCTGGCCATGCAAGAACTGGGATGTTTTCAGCTTCCAGGAATTGTGTACAGATCCTTGCAACATGGGGCCGTGCATTATCATGCTGCAACATGAGGTGATGGTCGTGGATGAATGGCACAACAATGGGCCTCAGGATCTCGCCACGGTATCTCTGTGCATTCAAAATGCCATCAATAAAATGCACCTGTGTTCGTTGTCCATAACATACGCCTGCCCATACCATAACCCCACCGCCACCATGGGCCACTCGATCCACAACGTTGACATCAGCAAACCGCTCACCCACACGACGCCATACACGCTGTCTGCCATCTGCCCTGTACAGTGAAAACCGGGATTCATCCGTGAAGAGAACACCTCTCCAAAGTGCCAGACGCCATCGAATGTGAGCATTTGCCCACTCAAGTCGGTTACGACGACGAACTGCAGTCAGGTCGAGACCCCGATGAGGACGACGAGCATGCAGATGAGCTTCCCTGAGACGGTTTCTGACAGTTTGTGCAGAAATTCTTTGGTTATGCAAACCGATTGTTGCAGCAGCTGTCCGGGTGGCTGGTCTCAGACGATCTTGGAGGTGAAGATGCTGGATGTGGAGGTCCTGGGCTGGTGTGGTTACACGTGGTCTGCGGTTGTGAGGCCGGTTGGATGTACTGCCAAATTCTCTGAAACGCCTTTGGAGACAGCTTATGGTAGAGAAATGAACATTAAATTCACGGGCAACAGCTCTGGTGGACATTCCTGCAGTCAGCATGCCAATTGCACGCTCCCTCAAAACTTGCGACATCTGTGGCATTGTGCTGTGTGATAAAACTGCACATTTTAGAGTGGCCTTTTATTGTGGCCAGCCTAAGGCACACCTGTGCAATAATCATGCTGTCTAATCAGCGTCTTAGATCTTTGAGTTCAGCTCATGAAAAATGGGGGCAAAAACAAAAGTGTTGCGTTTATAATTTTGTTCAGTACAGTTTGCATTTTTATGAAGTCCTCATATTTTGAACACATCTACATACAGTTAAAAAAACTGGTTTGTGTAATTTAGCAATTTTCTAACAATAAACACAACAATTAAATAGCCAAAAATAATCAAATTAAGGAGAAAAATAAATAAATAACTGCAGTAACAAAGTTGCACATTTAGTCCAAATTAAGCTGTCATTCAGTAGGGGTTAAGTAGTTTGGGACCAAATTAAATTTTATATGTATAATAGGGAAAATTCTGCTCCAACAGGATCACATGCACAATCTGGGACACAGCTACATTTTATGTTTGGTTATTAAAATGTATTTATAATTAACAATATCAATAATCAAAGACCATCTGAAGGTGCTTTCTCATCTGTTAATCCAATTCAACAAGTAAGATACTTTATTGTCATTGCACAAGGTACAATGAAATTTAGAGTGGCAACTCTCATATATGTCACACTTTAAAATGTATAAATAATACATAAAGCCACTGAAGGCACATTGTACACGGTATAAGATAGTGTGTTGTAGTGCATGTATTGTAAGTACTTAATAATAATCTTTTTTCTCCTAATATTTCAGTCCAGAAACCTGATAGAGACTGTGAACACAGGCCAATAAAAGGTTAGATTAAGTTTATTTCTTTCTATTCATATATTTCTCTTTCCAATATCTTATGATGTTTTCTTTTTGTATTCCCAGATTATCAGAAGTTTCTAAAAAAAAACTTAAGTCTGTTGGTTCAAAACGTGAAGAACATTGATCCAATTATTGATGATCTTGACCTACATGATGAATCAGTTGCAAATATGAGAGCGAAGCCAACAGATCAAGATAAGATGAGGAAACTGCTTACCTGTGTGAATTGTGAAAGCATTGCTAAGGACCTGTTCAACGCTCTGTGCAAGCATGAAAAACGTCTAATGAATGAACTACTGAACAGCTACTGAAAGTTGTATTATTTACCCACCAGATTAGCAGCATGTAAAAGTTTTTTTTAAAAGTGATTGTTCCTGGAGTTTTCCTTTTTTATATAAATTGAGAACCAAGTATATTGTACAAACAAGAGTACATATGACCAAACATGTCAGGGATATATATGCATTTTACATATTAACCTTTTGTATAGTTTGTACTGCTTTAAAGGTTTTTATTGTTTCTAAATATAAATATTTTAATATTGATTTTAAATTGTTTAAACATTGGCAGTTGTTCATTGCATTTTATGAATATAATAAAGATCAAATTATAACAATCCAAACAATGCATTTTTATCACCATTAAATGAGAAACACCTTAACATAACATCAGCTCTTTTACTGCTTGCTAGGAAGCACACTTGCTTTTTGTTCTAGTAAGTGTTCTAGTAAGTGATGGATGGTATTAAAAATGGAACTGATGGAACTTAAAAAGCACATTTCTACTTGTCTATATTTATATAGTTTTACTACTGGTGAAATTAGCTTTCAGAGTCATGACAGAAAAAAATCCCCAAAATATTATGCCATATTTGCCCGTTTTCACGTACATCCGTTTATAAACAAATCAAACACAAACACAACTGGAGGCGCAGTAACAGAACTCAGTCACTAGGTGGGATGGTGGTTCAGTACAACGAGTGAAGAGACGGAAGGAGGGGCTTGAACCGTGACTAAGAGCACCTGTTGGCGTTCAGCATGGCACAGGTAAAAATAAATACAAATGTAATATGAATTGTAAATCATTGTTCAATCTATAGAGCTGTTTGGGGATGCGTTCATGCTGCTTGGTGGTTTGAGGTTTGTTTTTGTAAACATTTTGTAAGGATTGTTTCATTCTCCTCTAGACTGTGGGAAATTGTGGGAAATTATAAGCGCTCAGAAGGGCACACAAAGTTCGTTGTCAGGCATTACGTGCAGCGGGTACATAAAAAGTAACATTTTTAACCACAGTGGTTGCAGCAATCCGAGCTCTAGATTAGAACCAGGCTTTGGGTCGGTATCATTATTGTGCTCTAACATTACTATTTTGTATTTTTTTATGTCATTTTAGTTTACATTTTATTGTAAATAAATTTGCTCCATGTATGTTGGACAACTTTATATTTATTTATTTATTTATTTTTAACAAATCTGATGTCAAACATCTGTGGCACAATTTAAAACAAAAGCATGTTAAAATCTCTAAATGAAAATTGAAATTTAAAATGAACAGAAAATGCCAGTATTTTACCTTAAATTGAGGTGGAAGACAATGTTGACAGAAATCATTTTAAGATTTCAAGTAAATGTCTCTGTTGTTGCAAGCTAATATGTATGTATGTATGTATGTATTTATTTATTTAATTATTTATTTGATGATGAAGATGAGTTCAGTCAAAGCCGACTTTCGGTCACTTTAAGGGTCATCCGTTTATTTATATGTTTATTTGCTAATTCTCTGCAGTGTAATTCTTGCTATAGACTAATGATATTGCTGAAATTGAGAAAGACTTCTATTACAGTTTAATGGCTGTAATAGAAGATGTCATAGTCTTTCACTGATTGAGGCAGCTGCCTAAGTAAGCAGTAAGGTAGTTTACTGGTTTTTGGAATGGAGCCATCATGATACCGCATTTGCAACTGTCCAAGTCACTGGTGTAATGTATATGAAGCGTGTCTTTTTGGCTGTTTCAAGTGCTGCAGCTTTTCCTCATTCAACCTGAAGTGTCCTCACTGCAGTAGACTAATTGTTATTCCTCCTCTCGCCTGCCTGTCTGGTGTCACAGCTGTAAGCAGATCACTGCCCAGCAGCTCACGCATCTCGCCGTAGACAGTGTAGTGGTAAACAGGGTCAGAGATTTCTCCTTCCTAAACGACTGATGTGAGTCGAGAGTTCCTATTACCCTTAAACAGCTTATACCAGCATGCATTTATGTTCTGGGTTGCTTATGCTCGTTTGGAGTTTCCTGCTAGTCAAGAATACATTGGAACAGATGAATGCTGTCTGGAAAGCTTATCTGAACAACTTCCGATAGACTTTAACTGAGAGAATGAGCGGCCTACTAGACAAGATACCATGTGTTAAATGCAAATTATACTTAATAGCATTTTTAACATTCTGTCATTTGAGGTCTATACATGAAACGTGGAATTTGACATTGCAAGAATGAAAACTAGAACAGGCTAAAGACTTAGTCATGTTTTTGTGTTGATTTTTTAAATTAAAGGGATAGTTCACCCAGACATTAAAATTTAATCAATATTTACTCACTCCCATCTTCCAAACTTTTTGGATCTTCTATGGAACACTTTCATTGTCCATACAATGAGTGAATAGGTTCCAGTGTTGTTTTGGACCTCAGTGTTGTTCAAAATGTCTTCTTTTTTTTTTGGTATGTGTGTGTGTGTGTGTTCCACAGAAAAGTCAGGTTTGGAACAACATGAGGGGGTAAACTGGTTCAACCGCATGAAACCTACAGTTTATATAACAGATCTTTCATTGAGTGAAGAGTATGAGTTAGTCATTTCCAACTACATACATTAGTGTGTGAGTACTGGACATCCCAGGCTTATTTAAAGGCCTAGCACACGTCAGTTGCAGTATTTCCACAATGCTTCCCAGAACCCTGTGGTCCTCTAAATAGCCACGTTGGGCTTAGAAGCATTCCGAAATAGTTTTAGCTTTCTCTACAGTAGAGACATGGGGATCACAGTGTCAAATGTCGGTTACTTCCTTCTTTTCTGTTCCTCTGACTGAGCTTCTTCCAAACTGTCACTCCCCTTGGGCACGTTATTAAGTAGCCTTGAGCGTCTTTCAGTGTGGGTTACCCTGAAGCTTTTAAAAAGAGATTCAAATAACTACGCTAGTGTTTACTAGAATGCTGGGTGTTAAGGGCTATTCACACAGGTCATGTTTTTGCATTTAGAAACTGCTGAACGGAACACGAGACATGTTTTTCAAAGATGAATGACTTTTAACTTGGAAGTACTTTGGTATTCACAGAGAAATGCAGCATAATGGCCAAAGACTTACATGTATACATAGACCAACAATAAAAAAATGTTTTGGGTGAACAATCCCCTCAGACCCAAAAATAAATACACATACTATTCAAGAAGCTGCTTTATTGTTGAAAAGGCACTACCATTTAAAAATTTGAAGTCTGAAGATCAAAGATGACTTTTTTTTTTCTACAAAGATATTAACAATCTGTTTTCAACAATAAATAAGACAGTTTTCATGTTTACCAAGTCAGCATATTACAATGATTTCTAAAGGATCATGTGACATTAATTTCCCAGTAATAGAGCAATAATGTTATATTACGGCTACGATTTTACTTTTTTAATCTCTGTTTTGTTTAAACCCTGAACATTTTGACCAACCTTTGAGACCATTAAGGACTCAAACACATTATCTTGTTCTTTTGCTACACAATGGTAAGTGGCAGAACCAAATGAGAGAAATCCTGTATGGACGGAAAGGAGGAAATCATACTTTCCTCTCTGATTTCAACACACAGATGATGCCAACATGATATCTCAGTCTGATTACTTGTCCTTTAAAACTCATTGACCTGGGGTTTAACAGCTGCTGTGTTAGAAAGGAACAACATTTTTTAAAAATCCATCAGAAACTTGTTTAGCTTGGATAATAATGCGTCATTCAGAGCCATAATATACCATTAAAGTTTATTTATGAGGCCTTTCGGGGACATTTGGTCATGGGAAATAGCATTCTGTACTGTATGTACCATCACTGTGGTGGATTTTGAGGGGAACAGAGCTGAGCTAGACCAACATAGCAAGTCAAAAAAACCTGGAATATCCTAAATAATATACAAATATATGGAAATATTGAGATTTGTGTGTTTTGGCTGAGTGTTTGTCAGGTTTATGCTGTATTCATAAGAGATTATTAGAAGTATGTTTAACATAAGATTTTTTATCTCATTCTGTCCTGTTTACCACATAGCTTAGTAAAATTATAGATGCCACTAATTGCATTTTATTGGCCGGTTATGGCTTTTAAAAAGCACAGTAATAAGCTAACAGACGCAGGATTGGTTTTAAATGGCAGTTTGATTAGGCCAAATCTAATTATGTCATCTTATTAAGTAAAGTCCCTTTCAGTGCGCCATCTGGACAGAATTTGAACTTTTCACCCTTTGTGCATGACAAAATAACAATATTAAAAGGCAAAACAGCTTTTTACAATTCATAAGATGAAATTCATTGTAATCTGGTCTGGTGTGTCTTGAAATTGGAATTATGCTTATGGTGTTTCTTTCCTTTCATTTGTTAGTTTGAGCTCACTGTTACAAGAAAGCCAGATCATTTACAGTAGTGCAATACATGCTCCCCTCTGCCTATAGGTTATTAGTACTGTTTGACAGCATTGCATCTATTCAGCTGCCATTATGACTTGGAAATAAGTGAGAGCTTTGCATGTCATTCTCATTAATTTCTGAAGCTCTTACTGAATATTAAACTATTACATAATATCTAGTGTGAATATTCACAGATATATGCATGCAGAAACATCTCATCTCAATGGTATCAGCAGCTATAGACATATTATTCCTTGAGTAAATATTTAGGCTAAGTGTTTTTGATTAGTAAATGATTGCTAGTTTCGATAAATCTCGTGGTAGTGCTTGAATTATGCTATCTGCATCAGCCCAAAGATTTTGTATTGCTTTTAGAGCTGGATTGTCTATAATCCAGCACTTTGTTTATTTGCTGCCATGCATAGGGACTGTATGAAGGTAAATCTATCATACAAATGGGCCATCACTTAGCAGTTTATATTGCAGATCAATGTTAGCCCAAATCACTGATCATAGTAGTGTAAAAGAAAAAGTGCTTCATTTACATTATTCCAATGTGTAGATTTCAGCGAAATGTTAAATTCTAACACTCATTGAATATAGTAGTAGTTTTTCAACTGAAAATATGAAATGAGACCATCATCCTTTATCCATATTCCTCTATGTGTTGCATATAATGTTTTAATTTGCATACACTTATTTGATAAAGATTATTATGCATATGAAACAGTTTGGCACCAGATCTGAGCATCTGAAAAGAAAATACTGCATAAAACCCTATTAGTAAGTTCATGCCCTTTTAAATCCAGAGAAAGTTACTCATTTTACAGTTGAAAATATTACATGTTGTTTGTGTTAGGAATTGCATAACTTTTTTTAAGGATTAAAAAAAACTATAAGAAATAAGACCGG